TGAGTTTGTTTATTTTTTTTAACAGAAGCAAAGAAAAATCATGCACATAAAATATCATAAGCAATAATGGCTAAAATGAAGCCCTTATTTGGGGTGGGGGAGAATAACCCTTCAAAATTAGAACAACTGACAATTGTTGCAAGTTTTGAATTTCAAGTAGTTTGTTGGAAAATGATGACGACACAATAATGATTGGTATGATGGAGAGCCTTCATACCAATCATCATTGTGTCGTCATCCTTTTCCAACAAACTACTTGAAATTCAAAACTTGCAACAATTGCCCTGGTGGATTCTCTACACTGAAAAGTAGAGGATGGCCTGCTTCTACCGGATTTCTCATCAACATTTGTCACATCGATCATAATATTGTGCCATTGCTTAAGATGCAATAATATTATAGCAGTTCCCGATTTACAGTCAGCACTCAAAATAGCAGCGGTTATTTTGTTTCACTTCCCAGCATTTGATTTGTGGAGTACCATACAGCTTATTTTATCTGCCTTGTTCTGCAACATTGTTACATAACTTCAGAGAAAATTACCCAGAAGGTTTAGAGTTAGAGCATAACTACAGAGGTAAATCCTCCTTCTCAAGGAAGAACTTTATATAATCAAGAAGAGGTCTTTAAAAGATTTTGTTTCCTAGGAAGCAAAGGATATCTAAGAAATGTGGGTATGGATTGCTGTATGTTGAGCAGTACTGTAAATCAGGGGTCCCCAATCCCCTGTACGGGAACCGGCAGTGGTCTGCGGCATGCCAGAAACCAGGCCATGCAAACAAGCGAAGCCCCATCTGCAGGATGCAAACAGCACATGAAACCACGCCCCCTTCGGTCTGTGGAAAAACCTTTTTCCACAGAACCAGTCCTTGGTGCCTAAAAGGTTGGGGGCCGTTCAGTGGTGAAATCCTCCAAGGTTTGCCACCAGCTCGCTGCAGTGTGCACTGCAGGCACTACCGCACAGTGCGGAAAAAGGAGGCTTAAGAAGGTAAGTAGAACAGCAGGGGGGAACAGCTGTGCCGTGCGATTTAGATTTGCTAGAAAGCAGGATTTACTTTCTTGTGACTATAAATCATGCAGCACAGCTGATTGTCAGAAATATCAGTTCAGATGAACTGGCAGCATTTTTTTACTACCGGTTCACCCAAACCAGCAGCTTTTATTACTATCTGTTCACCCGAACCGGTGGCATTTCACCCCTGGGACCGCTGCTGTAGGTAGTTTTTAGCAACTATTTGAAATTACAACAGAACACCCACACACACACACACAAAAGGGCTACTTGGGACTTGGTTTCAAAATTCTGATGTCTGATTTCACCCACCCTATGGTCACATGACATTTTGGATGCTTGGCAAACAGCCCACATTTATGGTCATTTGCAGGTTATTTGACTATGATTTTACAATGGTTTTGCTAGAAACCAGTATTTACTTCCTGTTTCTGGCAAAAACTGCCCCATTGCAAACAATGTATTTCCCTAATGACTGCTGCATTTGCTTAACAATCACTGCAAAAATATCATAAAATCAGGTCTGGTCACTAGTGACCTGCTATACAACCTGCTTTACAACTGCAATTGCAGGGCTCGTTTATCATCAAAACTCAAGGACTACGTTTAAGTAAACAACAGGAGAATATATACAATAGGAATCCAATTGCATAAGGTTTTGCATGATTTTAATGCATCCCTGCAGTCACGTTTATGATAATCAGATTTATTTTATTAATTTAGAAGTTGCCTGACTCCTCCATCAGCTAACTGGAAATAAGTAATTATTGCTGATCTAAAATCCTTCTGTTGGAATTTTATGTTTACAATAAGTTTAAATTAAGGAATATCATTTAATAAAGCTCCATGCAGTATATATACAAGAGATATCAAATAGCAAAACTCATATAACAACATATATTCCTATGCATAGAAAATGTTTTAGCTCTAGATGAAAAGATACGTGTTTAACTATAAATAAGGAAGTGTTTGCTTTCACTCTAAGATAACATTTGTTTGGAATAAGGTAACCCATTCCATTGTTAATGATTAGCTAAACCTTTAAATTAAAACTCTATAAAAAGGAAGACAGAGGGACACACTATTTTGGCTGCCTATCCAAAGCTTATTGATAATTTTGGGTGGATAAATGTATTTTTAAAAAAATCTTTACTGATCATCTGGTGAGTTTATTGAATTCCTGACTTGAGAAAGAACCCAAGGAAAAGCTGCCTGATTTTTCCTAGACTTCTATGACAATAATATATTGAATTTAAAATCCTCACATTAAGATTAGGATCCTCACATCCTCGCATACAATCTGGAAAAAATGATAAGCATCCTTTTTCTTTAAAAGTTTATTATAAGGCTTTTCAAAACTTTTCAGACAGTGGAACTTTTGAAAGAATCTAGAATTCCTAGTCAAGAGGCAAAGCTCTAGTGGTTAGAATTTGGCTATGTTTTAAATTAACTTTTTCCCTTTGTTTTTAAATCCCTCAGAAAACCTTTAAAAATTTAAAAAGTCCTGGCTTAGTGGAGGCACATTTGTAAAAAAAAGGAACAGAACTGAAAATTAATAGCTACTAAGTTGAAATATGTTCCAAGTGAATTGGTAGAAACGAGTTTTAAAAAATGACCAAGAAAGGAATGAAAATAACATATTTTGCAGAAATAAGTTTTGCCTCAACAGCATTCTAGAATTTTCTGAGTGTTAGTAGGCTTTCAGATAGCAGTGACCTTGTTGATACTATATATCTGGATTTTCCAGAAGCCTTTAATTGAAGTTTCCATCAAAAGTTCACAAAACACGGTAATCTTAAAATAAGAGGATATGTCATTTTACAGATAAAAAAACAGAAAGCATAGAACTGGAGCAGATGGTAATTTTCTCAGGAAGAAAAAAAGATGGAGTCTCAAGTATCTGTATTCAGACTATAGTTATGCTTTTAACTTTGGTTATACACAATTCTAGGGACGCGGTGGCTCAGTGGCTAAAGACGCTGAGCTTGTCGATCAAAAGGTTGGCAGTTCAGCGGTTCAAATCCCTAGTGCCGCATAACTGGGTGAGCTGTTACTTGTCCCAGCTTCTGCCAACCTAGCAGTTCAAAAGCACATAAAAAATGCAAGTAGAAAAATAGGGAGCACCTTTGGTGGGAAGGTTACAGCATTCCATGTGCCTTTGGCGTTTAGTCATGCCGGCCACAATCAGAGATGTCTTTGGACAGCGCTGGCTCTTTGAAACGGAGATGAACACCACCCCCTAGAGTCAGGAATGATTAGCACATACTGTATGTGAGAGGGGAACCTTTACCTTTACCTTATACACAATTCAAGGTGGGCTTATTAGTTTATTTAAATCACCTTATGGTAAATGCAGTGCTATTTAAGTCAAGGCAACTGAAATAATTTGAGAAAACGACATCCACTACCAAGTTCATACTCCTGTGAGGGGGACAGCAACCACAGTTTCATGGCGCATGAATCAATGTAAATGGGATTCAGCGTGCAGCAGATATGAAAATGGCAAATTTATGCTTGGAATCATTAGAACATTTATACAAATCTATGATACATGTGATAAGAACATCTTTGTCATACATATTATAAACCTTTGTAAGTCTGCTGTCAATATCTGCAAACAAACCACCTCAACTTGCACCGAACAATAAGCTGTTTAGGCAAACTTTTATCATTGGTATTAAAATGCTTTTTCTGTAAACATGCCGATAGGGTCTGATCAGAATAAATTGGATTGGAAGGATAGTAACTGCGGTTTATAGAGTTCTATCCATCTGAAAAGGGCACACAGCAAAACAGATGTGCAAACCATAACAGGAGTGGGGAAAGAGACACAATGAGGTGTGTAAGTCACTTGTAGCATGAAGAAAGTGGGCAGAGTGTGTTTCCTGTTATCTCAAACATGGCAACCAGCAACTTATCCAGTGAAGCTAATTGGAAGGAAGATATGATGGCAACTAACTTGGATGGTTGGGGGATGGGTTAGATAAATTCATGGAGGACATCTTTCAAGGGCTATTGATCTTAAAGATTCGATGTTACAGCAAGAGTCCTGGAACAGCACTCATCAACAGTAAGGGAACAATGACAGCACAGAGTATGTATGTCTCTATCCCAAAAATATTGGGTTGGCCCCTGCAGGATAAAGTTGCTGTAAGAGGAATTTTGGTCTTATCCAGCAGGCCTTATGCTTAAGTGAAGGTCAGCTAATGCTACTACTTATCTATTCCACTTCAGTTAGGCTATAATGAAAGCAAATAGAACAAATCAGATGTGACAAGTCTGTTACATGCAAACTTATATAATTGTTTTGTGATGGGGTGGTGTCTTCATCACATTATGCTAGCTTAAACTGGCAGAAGTTCTACTCACCTCAGGACCAATGCATTAATTTGAAGAAAACATGCCAAAGCTCTCTGCTGGAGGCAGCTGGAGTCCCAATTTTTTTTACATCCTTCTCTGGTGATTCTGCTCTTTTGAGGGAGTTGAACTAATATACAGTGGATTTGAAACTATTCTAATTTTTCTACCCTAGTTTTAAGCACTTAGTGGGTAAGCAATATCTTTGGAGAAAAGAAAATGTACAGAAAACATGTTTCTACTAAATAAGATAGATAACTGGCTATATTTTTTTCTGTTAGTCTTCAAGCCAGTCTTGACTCCTGTAATTTTCTTGATAAGATTTTAAGAGTCACTTGCCCTTGCACTTCTTCTTAAGGCTGAGAGACTGACTGGCCCAAAGCTGGTTTCATATCTAAGGCAGAAGTAGAACTCAGGACCTTTAACCATTATACCAAAACTAGTTCCTGTGCTCTAATTTTAGAATACACAATGAAGAGAGAATATGGTCTCTTAACTCAGGCACTTCAGTTACTTGTAATATATAAAGCATACACTCAAGTTTTAATGAAATAACCAGAGTAGATATGTACTCTTACATATTTCAACTAGACAACGATTCTTGAGGAGTCAAGTTATATAAATATCAACATGACCCTGAAAACTTAAAGTTTATTGGATAAAGCTAAATAGCAGTAAACAAATAAAACGCATTCCACCTAAATAAAAAAATTCACATATTTACAGAATTTCATAAATGTGTAAGTTGTTCACATGCCAAGATTAATGCAAGATTAAAAAGTTGATAGTGGTTTGGGGACGTCAAAACACTGAAAGCTGTGTGGTATACACTAAAATCCCAAATATATTGAATTCAGCAAAAGGCCAGTTACCTAAACAATAATTTAGTTCCTGCAGGAAAGGCTGACATGTTCTAATTCAATTTCCTTATATTTTTAGGCACAAGCAGAATTGCTCTTGTCAAATACAGCAGTCCATAGTGAGCTACACATACAATCGGGAGTCAGTGAACCTTTTCTACAGCACCAACAATATAGGATTTTATTGAAGCATAGAGAAGTTAAAATTGCAAGCTCAATTTGTAAACGGAGGCAGTACTTGCATGTTGCAATAGTGCAGGAATTTGTACGGGAACAATAAGGCCATGGCAGTTATAACTCAAAATTTATTGTGCAGGGGCACATTTTTAGGTTGTAACCTCAGTCCAATCATTATGAGGAAAATGGTGCAATTTAGTACAGAATGTGTACATTACACTTGTAATGCTTTAAGCACACTTTAAAAGTAATCTAGACTTGCTGCCACTGTAGCTTCTCATTTTACTTTCTCCAGATGATCTATGACAGAACTACAACAGGCTTATACAAACATTTCATGTATTACTGTAGAGGTACCATCCATGCCTTTTGGCAAAGAATCCTTGAAAATAACAGAATATCTATATAAGGCCAGAGAAGTTTCATTCTGCATGCAGGTAACAAAAGAAAACATACTATAGCTAATAGCAGTACTTGATCCAATATAAAATGTTCATTTTTGAGAAACAATTTGTACTTGAACAAGCACATTAAGAATGGATGCATCAAACATATATTAAACAAGGGCTCTGAACAGCATTTAAATACATACAGGTGTTCCTTAAAATAATAATACAGTAAGGAGCAACCGAAACACTTGTACCATGTATTTGCATACTGTAGCCTACCTCAACATTACTGCATCAACAACTTCAGCTTTGACAAATCTGTTTAAATATTGACACTACCAAGAATGTAAAGATATGAAAGTAGTGTTAATTTTTCCAGTTCAAATAACCTCTATACTGCAGAAGCTAACTGAGAAAGACAATCACTTCATAAATTTCCTTGTGCTTCAAGACACAATTTAATGTTTCATAGCCTATGAATTTTATACATGATTACACAGTGAGAAGCAGGCAAACCTAGTGTTGTCACAATAGCCTAGGTATTTAGCACCAAGTGCAACTGTGCACAACTACTCCATTAATAGAAGAATAAGCTAGACAGTGACACATATTTTTGTGCTGGAAATCAATATGACATCCAGAATGTCATAAAGCTGTAGCCTATGTAAAGCATTTCTAGAAGAAAGATGTGACTGTTCCATCTAATTCAAATTACGTAATACCTGCTTATATGTTCAATTTTTTGACAGGCTGATTTTGAAGTATCTTATTCTTTACTCCACTTAAAAGAGCTTTAGCAAATATAAAGAAATTAGCAATGCCCTGCACGATACCAAAACAAAAAAAGCTGACAACCTGAATATTTTATTCATTGGGAGGAATACAATTTGAGAATTTATGATAATTTAGTGATTTAATTCTAGTGCCTCATACTTTCCATTGAAATCTTTTTACAATAAACATCACATGCATCTGAGAGGAAAAATTAGTACAGTATCCCATTTAAACAGTGTCGGAAAAGCTTTATAATAACAGTTGATCTAATCCCTGTGCTGCCACGTGCCAGCATTTCCAATGAGCGGCTACATACAAGAATGAAATAATTGTGCGGAGAATCTAATATAAAAATCTGGATCAGGAAGACCAGAGAGAAAAAAAATTCTGGAGAAGAAGTACCCACTGCCACTGTCTAGATGAAATGAATAAAAAACATTTGCACGACTTATGACAACTCTAGCCAACTCTTTGACAGAAGTAGGATTATAAGTCATTCAGCAGTGCATATATGGAGGCATGAACTGTGAAAAAAAGGCAATTCCTTGGACACAGGAGGGCTATCCTGGATAACAATTCATCACGGAGGGAGTAGACAATTGAGAATATGGCCAAATGAGCAGCTATGTGAACGTTTTCAGCTTCTTCGAGACTTTGAGTGCTGAATAAGCCACTGAAGTGTGATATCTAAAAAAAAAGGGAAAACATGACAATTGGTTTTCAAGATAATTGCTGTACCTAATCATTCTTAAAAATAAGCATTTAAACAGGAGTGCACATGGATTCATTTTTTCCAGATTCCAGAAACATCCACTGTAAGATCGCAAACAGAAGCATGTTCTATGTGGCTGAATCAATAATGAAAATATTTCTGAGATTTGTTTAAATCTGGGACAGTTATTTGGACAGGCTTTGGTAATTTTAATTCATTCAACATTTGTTCCAACTGCATTACTAACTTTTTTTTTTAAAATTAAAAATGAATTTCAATGCAGGCAAAAAGGCTGCCCAAGTGATAATTCAAATTCTTTAGTCAGTAGGTGTTATTCTATGAAAACCATGTCTAAAAATTTGATTGCTTCTTTGATTTAACAAGATCCTTTGTCACAGTCAAGTTTTTTTTCACGAAGCAAGACTTGCTGTCACGTGTTAGACAGTTCATTAAAAGATATGCATGCAAGAAAATCAGATCCTTGTAAAAGAAAAAAAAAATACTGCATATAAATTTAAATAGTCCTTTAGCACATATGGATCTTGCCCGGCATTTAACTGGACTGAACCATCACTTGAAAGCATATTGTACATTTTATTTGTAAGTATGAATTGCTTGAACCTTAGAAACTTTGTAAATATAAAGGAGTTCTTTTCATAAATTCTTAAAGGATCTTTAAAAATATATGTTTATTTTTGAGGCATCTTTAGAGACATGTTTTCAAATATGTTTTCTGTTCAAGTCATAAATAACATACCTTTGTATAAAATGAGGCTGATGTGAAAACCATCATTTCACAAAATGGTGGTTTTCACATCGACCTCATTTTATACAAAAAGTATTTGCCTTCTAGATGGCACTGATTTAAAATTCAAGAATGTGTGAATTTTTTTTTCAATAGCACCAAGATTCTGATTTGTTTGAATGGAGTAAAATGGAATAGAACAGAACAGAACAACAGAGTTGGAAGGGACCTTGGAGGTCTTTTGGTCCAACCCCCTGCTCAGACAGGAAACCCTATACCCATGATGGCGAACCTATGACATGGGTGCCACAGGTGGCACGCGGAGCCATATTGGTGGGCATGCAAGTGTTGCCCTAGCTCAGATCCAGCATACACGCGCGCACCGGCCAACTGATTTTCAGGCCTTCCGGTACCACCGGAAGTCGGGAAACTGGCTGTTTCCGGCCTCCGGGGGAATGGGGAAGGCTGTTTTTGCCCTCCCCAGGCTCCTAGAAAGCCTCTGGAGCCTGGGGAGGGGGAAAAATGGGCCTACCAGGCCCACAGTGCCGTCGCGTGCCAAAAGCAGGGGGAAGTGTGGGAGGGTCACGTGCACATGCACGGGAGGGCGGGGCGCATTGAATTATGGATGTGGGCACACGCACTCGCAACCCCACCACACTCCCCACGCTATTGGCACGTGATGGCAAAAAGGTTAGCCATCACTGCCCTATACCATTTCAGACAAATGGTTATCCAATCTCTTCTTAAAAACTTCCAGTGCTGAAGTGTTCAATGAAGTATTGCTAGAAGCGAAAGTAACAAACTCATGGATGGAAGTATATATTACTCTCATACCGAAAGAAGATTCAGATTTACAACAGATAAAAAATTATAGACCAATATCCTTATTGAATGCTGACTATAAAATATATGCCTCAATAATAGCAGAAAGACTAAAAAGGTTCTTAAATGAATTTATACATTCAGATCAAAATGGATTTTTACCTAAGAGACAAATTAAAGACAATATGAGAATAATTTTAAATATACTGGAGTACTGTGAAGCATATCCAGGGAAGCAAATGGTGTTGATTTTTCTAGACGCACAGAAAGCATTTGACAATGTGAACTGGCAATTTATGCTACCACAATTAAAAGATATGGATTTTGGGGAGAGATTTATTAACATGATTAAGGCAATATAAGCAAAGAGCAAAGGTGATGGTAAATGGAGACATGACAGAGAAGGTTAACATTAAAAAAGGTACAAGACAAGGATGCCCCTTGTCTCCACTATTATTCATATTGACACTAGAAGTATTAAACAGAAATATTAGACAGGACATAGAGATAAAAGGTATGGAAATAAAAAAGGAAAAATATAAACTACAGGCATTTGCAGACGATTTAGTCTTCATTCTGGAAGTTCCACAAGAATCAGGGCCTAAATTAATAAAAATAAATAAATAGAGGAATATGGCGAAGTGGCAGGAAATTCCTCCTTAATTCTAGGTTGCTTCTCTCCTTGATTAGTTTCCATCCATTGCTTCTTGTCTTGCCTTCATGTGCTATGGAGAATAGTTTGACTCTCTGTGGCAACCCCTGAGATATTGGAACACTATCATGTCACCGTAGACCTTATTTAAATTAAACTAGACATACCCAATTCCAGCAACCGTTCTTTATATGTTTTAACCTCCAGTCCCCTAGTGATCTTTTTTGCTCTTCTCTGCACTCTTTCTAGAGTCTCAACATATTTTTTACATCGTTGTGACCAAAACTGGATGCAGCATTCCAACTGTGGCCTTACTAAGAAGGCATTATAAAATGGTATTAATTTAATAGGGTTTGCTTTTTGTTTTTTTAATTTTTGTTTGGAAGCTACCCAGAATTTGTTATAAGAGGGGTGGCTATACAGCATCTTTCACAATCCAGCCTTATTTGAAGATAACTTACAAAAAAAACCTCACAACTTCATGTATCAGCCTGTTCCAACGACTAACAGCTTGATGTCTAGCCTGTACCTTTCTTTAATTCTACTACTATTTACTGGGCAACACAGAATAAATTAATTCCCTCATCTTGTGAAAACCCTTCAAATATTTGAAGAGAGCTATCATATCTCCTCTAAATCATCTTTCTGTAGACTAAACACACCCGGATCCTTTAACTGTTCTCAGAAGCTTTGTTCCAGAATGGTATACCATTTTAGTAGCCTTCCTTTAAACTTGTTTCAATTTGACATTGTCCTTTTTGAACTGTGGTAGTCATGGGTAACATACTGTGTACTCTAAAGTTAGCATTACTGATATTGTTATTACCTATATTGTCCTTTTCTTTGCAAGAAATGGAGTAGCAGCAGATTTCTCTGTCTTGAATAGCAGCCAGGTTCCTGGAGGAAAAGCAATTCATAATTTGTTGAAAATTGACAGCAACATCCTATTAAATGTGATGTACATATGATTCACATTAAAATATGAATTATTTATAATTACAAAAGCAGTGTATTGGAAACTTTCTCCTATGACAGCAAACATATATACACATCAAAATAACTGTAACTAAAGTAATCTACTGTTAGAAAGTCCAGGCACAGATCATTTTATAGATCCAGCAAATTCATAAAAAGAATTATGTGATATATGCTGGACGTACCCATATTTATCACTGATGGACAATATTCCATAGGCCCTTATGTGACTGATGAAATAACAAAGCATCATGGGCTGTCTAGGGAATTCTGGGAGTTGAACTTCACAGGTCTTAAAGGTTTTTCTTTGAAGACATTTCACTTCTTCTCCAAGAAGCTTCTTCAGCTCTGACTGGATGGTGGGGAATGGAAGTATTTATACCCCATCATCCAGTCAGAGCTGAAGAAGCTTCTTGGATGAGAAGCGAAATGTCTTCAAAAAAACCCCAGAAAGTCCAGTTGCCTCTTGAAAAAGCACCTTTGGGACAACCATGACCTGGATGACTGAGAATCTCCATAGACACAAGTCTTAAAATTGCCAAGGTTGGACACACCAATTTAAAACATGTTTTTTTTTAACCTTACTTCTTAAAATATGCTTGCTTACTCACTTACATTTTTTCAATAAGCTGCTTCTCATCCAGTGCATTAGCAAGGTCTCTTTTGTTTCCAAGTACTAGAACCTGCGAACAGAAAATATGTACTGATTTTAGCATTTAGCTTTTTAAAGCAGGAAGCAGTTAAATTTCATTTCAATAAGAATCCATTTTTGTGACACATAGAGGAAATAAATCACTCATATTAAGGAACTAAAGTTGCAACATTTATTCCCTGATACAAATAGCCAGTCTTTAAAAAAAAAACATATTACTAATGAATGGTAAATATCAGATGTTCCTCTAGACATGGCATTTGGACCTGGATACCTTCGAGACCGTCTTCTGCCACCAGTAGCCTCCCACCAGCCAGTCCGCTCCCACAGAGAAGGTCTCCTCAGGATGCCATCGGCCAAATTATGTCGCCTGGCGACACCCAGGAGGAGGGCCTTCTCTGTGGGAGCCCCTGCCCTTTGGAATGAACTGCCCCCAGAAATTCGTAAGATCACTGATCTCTGTGTATTTCGCTGTGCCCTCAAAACGTTGTTGTTCCGCCAGGCCGGGCTATCAATGTAAAGATTTTAATTGGTTTTAAATATTGGATTTTAAATTTGGGGGTTTTATAATTGAGCCAATTATTTAATAATTTTAATTATTTTTAAATTTTGTCTGTCTTGTGCTTTTAATCAGGCTGTACACCGCCCTGAGTCCTTCGGGAGAAGGGCGGTATAGAAGTAAAATAAATAAATAAATAAATAAATAAATAAATAAATAAATAAATAAATAAATAGATAGATAGATAGATAGATAGATAGATAGATAGATAGATAGATAGACAGACAGACAGACAGACAGACAGACAGACAGACAGACAGACAGACAGACAAGGGATGGACATGAATTCCACAGCTAGAACACCACTTTTTTTTTTAGTTGGGCTACTAGTGGCATGTCCAAAATATCAGAGTTTCAATCCTTCCTTCATTAAAAAAAATAAAATAAAAAAGATACCTTACGCTTATCAAAAGATCATGAGTATAATTTTTTTTTGTTTAAAAATAGCAAGAAATCATGCTGATCTTGTCTGGTGGCATGATTCTGGGAGCAGTGGTTGTCCATCTCTGCTATCAGTGCATTATATTCATATGTAGCTCAAATAATGTCTCTTTATAACTGTGTGTTACTGTTGTCTTGGTCATGGAAGAGTATACAAAGCAGGTTGTAATACAGAACAGGGTGGGCTAGTCTGACAGTGACACAACCAGATAAGCCATTCTAAGTGCTTATCAGAAGCACTCAGAAACCGCAGGGAAAGTCATTTCAAAAGGAAAATTTGGTACAATAGATAAGAAATCGAATAGTACAAGTCAGAAATAATTAGCCAATAGTCAGTCATTTTAGGTTGATCATTTCCTGCACAGATAGTCCAAAGCTCTTTACTTTCTCTTGTGAAACAAGATACTCCTGCCCTGCTTAATAATTTACTCAATACCTCAAGATGTTTTAAATCACTTGTCCTTTTATCAACTTGTACATAGGTCTACAGTTTTAGTATATTTCTATGGTCTGTGGCTGAGGACGCTTTTAGAAGACCTATTTCAACTTGCATTATATGTATATCTAAAAAAACCTAAAGATAATAATAATATAAGAATCAAAGATTTACATGACAGAGATGTGCTTAACAAGCAATATACCAAACATCAAAAAAGCTGTCCACAAACAACAATGCAATTATTTTCTAAACAAATTAAAATTTCAAGCACATTTCCTCATCGATTTCTTCAAAATTTTCAGGCAGGATTAACATGTCCGCTACTCACAGGAATTCCTTGTAGCTGTGGTTTGTCTAGAAGATTGTGCAACTCATTTCTAGAAGCTTCTATTTTTTCACGATCTGCAGCATCTACCATATAGCTATTAAAAACAATTCGTTTAAATCAGTTTGTGCAATGCAAGGAACACCAGTCCAGTCCAGCAATATTACCAACTTTCCCCTCCCAAAGAATCTCAAATAACTAGGAATTTCATCGAAATATTATAAAAGGTATCAGAAAATTGCAAGCCAAAATCTCATTTAGTGACTAAAAACTGGGTAATTTGACCCCACAACTACTCATCAAAGCCTTAAATTGTAACACAACATGGCTAAAATTGTATTAAAATATGTTGAAGCTTTTCAGAATTCTTCCTCATAGTAATTGAGGAGAAATAAGAAAACACATCAAATTTGAAAATTGCAAAATTGATCATCTTTGAGATCAGTATTCCCTAACCATTTCCTTATACTGTACTTTAAATATGTTGATACCTGTTTTTGTAACAGTTTCAACATTAGAATTCTAGGTATTCCTCCATTTATAACTGGACGCTTAATAATCAGTTATGATGGATCTCCCCAAAAGTTACTTACAATCCAGTTTTGAAGTTACAACAGATGCACCCCTCTATGGTCATGTGATTGGTTTTGGTGTTTGACAACCAGCTGATCATTATGGTCAGCAGTCATATGACTGTGATGTTTGATATTTTTTGCTGGTTTCAGGGAAAAAAAACACCCATTGGGTAAAACTGATTCACTTTACAACCACAACAAAAACTGCCATAAAATTAGATTCAGTCATATGTTGACCTGCTTAACAAGCAGAACAACTTACAACCATAATTCTGGACTGAATTACAGTAATAAGTCAAAGACTATCTATATTCTATGTCACCACAGAGTTCCAATATGGTTTCTAAGCCACGTTAAGTATTGAACAATAGTGAATTCTAAGTTTTCATTTATAATTGCAACAATTAAAAACATTTTCATCTGAGACTTTAGAATTCATCTAAGTATAACCTAAAGTTATATAAATTACATAGTCATCGTTAACTCAAATATTTACATTCAGAATATCATTGCCACAGTAATACAAGGAAAAGCTGCAACAAATCTTAGATTAACATTCTCCACTCCCCAACTCAAAGATGCATTTGGAAGCTTTCATTACTTAATAATAAAGTTTTGTAATACTCTATTTTAACTTCTTTTGGAATCCTTTGTCATGTCATTATGCTATAAAGCTTGAGTCCTTAGGGAATGCAGTAGTTTAGAAACATAGAAAATAAATAAACTGTATTGCAATTTGTTATTTTGTCTGGACCAAGGAAAAAAAGTTCTAATGTTTTCCTGTTTGTAAGACAACATGATATTAGAAACCTGCATTCATCATGTTTCAGTTTACCATCATGTCCTTAAGCTCATTCTTTTAGAAAATTTTGATGGTCTCATATTTTGCTAAGTACTCCAAGATAGTACTACCAGGTCTGAGTTGCAAAAATCTGATGACCACTAGATGGCAGCAAAAGATTAGAGTTTTCTGAATCTCTTTGCCACCATTTAGTGGTCATCTGGGTTTTTGCAGCCTTAATCTTAGGTTTTGTTTCACTTGGTAAAATCCCAGTCATGTGATGACAGGAACACTGCGATGGCTATAACTTCATGGACTGGTCATAGTCCCCTTCATTCAGCTCCATCATAATTCTAAATAGTAGTAGGTTATAACTTAAGGACCACCTATATAAAATCAGCTTCTGAGAAGGGAGAGGCACATTATAATTAAATCACCCAAAAAGAACAAGTTTTATTTTGTTCTTTCGGAAGGGAGAATTTTAAGTAAATTAGATGTGATAAGCTTAGTAGAGTCTTAATGTACCTATTTTGCTTCTTCCTTTGCTAAATAAATAAATAAATTTATACCATCATCTTGTGACATTCTGTTACAAAATTTCTGTAATAGGCCATGGGGGCCAAAATAAAGGGGGACAAGGTGAGACTTATAGGCTTCCAAGCATTAGTTTAAAGAACTTCATGGTTTGTAATCCAGACTTCTTACTAAACAGTTGAGAATAACATGCAACAAACATAACAGGAAAAAAACATTTAAAGTAACAAAAAGAAAAAAAAACTTACACAATAGCATTAACTCCTCTGCAGTAGCGTTCCCACATACTTCGGAATCGTGGCTGTCCTCCTATATCCCAAATCTTTTTTAGAGGGAAAAAAAAAAGAATTATATCTGGAGATTTTGCAACTAAAAACAACACTATAGCTCACAATGTTCATTTGCCAAGAAGAGCAACCAAATACCTCTTTTAATACTCACTGCAATATAACCATGATGGCGAAACTATGGCACACGTGCCAGAGGTGGCACGCAGTGCCCTCTCTGACAGTACATGAGCCATCGCTCCAGTTTAGCTCTATAGCGCATGTGCACGTGTCCCACCAGCCAGCTGGTCTTCGGGTCTCTGCCACGTATGAGTGGGGTGTGGGGTGGCACGTGTGCATGCGCGGGGGGACAGGGCACATGTGCGGGGGCTTGCGTAGATGTTCAGGTGTGGGGCATGTGCAGGGGGCACACGCATGTGCGGGGACCATGCACACATTGCATTTGGGGGGTTCGGATGTGTACACTTTGGGCACTCGGTCCAGAAAAGGTTAACCCATCACTGCAATATAAGATGCTGATTAAAGATCTACAAAATTCTGAACAATCTAAAACAATGCAGACAAAGTAACTTGTCCCTAAGTACCGTATGCAGAACAGCACACCTCCCATTCAGCCTGGAATGGATACTACAGATTGTACAGATTTCATCAGCATTTCCTCTATCACCAAAGAGTCCCATACAAAACATCACAGGGCCTCTGGCCACCTTATCACTCCTGTATTTCCCAAATGGAACTGGGTCATCTCGAATAGGACTAGTGGGCAGAAATTTATGGCTGCAATAGCAACAAAAAGAAGTACAAATGTTTTGCCACTGTTATTATTACTTTGTAGACCACTGCTTAGTCAAAATTCATTTGTGATCTTTTGCAACCATTGCTCTAGATGCCTTTAATTAGTTTCATCTCCCACTCGGTAAGAAGTTTGCAGAAGCTCACAGAGACAATCTCATTTGGTGGTCTGGTTGTACTGTTATACCAGAGTGTTCTGACCCAGCTCTCCAAACATGACAAACCCACTGAAGTTAACTCAAAGTTTCCTTTATTAGGAGTGCAGGCAGCCCCAGGAAAAGGTTTCTCTCTCTACGCAGCCTAACAAGTCTGTCCGGCCAGAAGATGAATAGTTGTCTGCCACACCTATTCATCTCTGCCTTTTATCCTCAGAGCTAGGGTGGGGCTTCGCTAGCAGTGGTGGCTCTTCCTTCCTCAGGATCAGCCCACGGATTTCCACTGCTCTCCTCTTCTCTCCCTTCTGCGCAACCATGCATCAGGCACTGGATCCAGCCGTTCCTCCTCTTCTTCATCAACCACCTCCAGACCTGGGGGCTGTTGACTCTCCATCTGAGGGCTGACGGATGGCTCAGGCTCCGCCCCTCTCTGTCTCTGCCAGCTCCATTCCCTCTTCCCCCTCAGAGCTTTCATGTTGCCTTGATGCTGACCTTGACTCCCACGCCTCCTCCTCCTCCTCTGATTTGGCTGCTGGACAGGCCACAACAGAGACGGGCCAGGACCCCAGAATACAACTTGTGAACTTGAAACCCAGCAGTACAAGATGGTGGGTGCAATAGTTCTGAGGTCTGAAAGACTTCCCTCTAAAGATTTCTTTTGAGAGGAGTCGTATTTATAGGTTATTACATGAGTTTGTTCCTCGAAGATAGGACTACATACCACATATTCTCCCGTGAGATTTTAGTAAAATGTTCTATGTAATGTTTTCCCTCTATATTTGAACACAGCAGATCAGGGAACTATATTAATCTTATTCAAAGATTAAGACTAATCACTCTTCCCATGCTTTTCTCATTAGCAAAATATAATTAACTTGGATACATACCTTTATTGTGACATTACCCTTGGTAACTTTCCGCATGTTGAAGCCCACTGTAGGAATCATGTCTTCACTGAACTGGCCTGACTGAAGACAGAAAAGAGATAGCCTTTAGTGAGATCTGTCAAGTAACTGAGTCATCTTTTCAGTCAGTTGCTTTCAAATACAAAGGTTATTGCTGAATAGAATAGAGAACATTTGTAATACTAAGTCTTAGTTAGCATTATTTTTCTTCCCCTTCCGTCTGAGAAGGTTAATTTTTGCAATTTAGACAGTCCATGAGCATGTATCGCATGTGAGTGAAGCCAGGAAAATTATAAAGCAGAAGGAAAAAGGATGGAAGGGAACAAGTGGCCAACATATTCAGAGTCATATGTAATGACTCAAAAATACCTTGTTGGTTTAGAAAGATTGGATAGAAATTATTCAAGCTTCCCAGCATACCCTATTAAATCTAGAAGGCTACTCCAGGAAATAGTTTTCTCCCAAAAAAATGTTAGGAAATAGCACTGGCCAATTAGAATGTCTCATGTTGTTCCTTTTTTTTTAATTGGACATCAGCATAAAAAGTAATCTTCCCAACACCCTAAGGCAACACAATAGCATCTGGAAGAACCTGAAAAACTTATGCACTTCATGGGAAAGTATAAAGTCAGCGTCATACAACATTATTCCAAAGAATAAAACCTGAAAGTTTACTTAGAGGGTAAGCCCAGACTTGAAACACTTATGAAATATGATAAATGAATTTTCAAAAATTATACATCTAATATTATACTGTAACATAACATTTAAATTATTTATAATTTTATTAAAGCATTTATTGCTACTTATTTCAGTATGGTATGTTCCAAGATGGACAAATGCGAGAAAACACTTCAAAATATATTTATGTATTAAATTTGTTTGCTATTCATCTCGCTGCAAGGTGATTCTGGGTGTCTTATAATTTCAATAAATGCAAATGTATCCCTATATATCTCCCTTAAATTCATGAAGTACTTGCTCTAGGCCAGCTCAATAGGAGTCTAGAACACTAATGGAAAGCTAGCCTCACACTGCTCTCTCAGGATCTCCTGAGAAAAGAAGCAGGCAACACCTCCATGGATCGTCTGCGTTATTTTTCCTCTATCTTGAAAGCTATTAAAGGCACCGCTTGGCATCTTTGCCACTTCTTTTCCCAAGGACTTCTGTCTAGCTTAAAACTCCATAAGGGCTTGGAATGGATGTGGCTGGGCTTGAAAACAGTGAGCTCCAAAAATAAGACCCTGTCTTATATTTTTTTGAACCCTGAAATAAGTGTTTGGCCTTATTGCCCTGCACTCAAAAGCCCGATTGGGCTTATTACCAGGGGATGTCTTATTTTGGGGGAAACAGTGTGTGTGTGTAATCCAGGAGCCCTCAAGCAGTCGCATTTTATACCAAATTTATATTTTACTGATAAAGAAGTAAAGGGGGACTAGTATAGATCTATTTCAAGCTTTTTAGCTTTCATCAGCTAGCCATACCCTTACTTGGATTCGAACTTGGGCTTCCTGCATGTTAGGCAGTTGAATTAACCTTCTGAGCCACAAGTTCTCCTCTCTTCATCAGCTTGAGCCAGGGGAAAGATAAAGTGTTTACCGAGACACCTGGTTTACCCCAACATGTGAGAGGGGGCATTCTGCTCCCTTTTGCCTTTCAGCTCCAATCCAGGAGCCCTCAAGTAGTCGCATTCACGACAAACACTTAATCTTTCCCCTGGCTTGAATCTTTCCCTTGGTTTGAATCCAAGTAAGGGTATGGCTAGCTGATGAAAGCTAAAAAGCTTGAAATAGATCTATACTAGTCTCCCTTTATTTCTTTATCAGCAAAATATAAATTTGCAATATACTGTGAATGTTTGCATTGCTATTCCATAAGATGCCATGAGTCTTTGTTGAAATAAAAAGTGTGTGTGTGAAAGGGAGAGGGAGAGAGGGAGGGGGAAAGAGAGTGGGGGAAAGAGAGGGAGGGAGGGAGATTTTTTTTATTTTTTTAAGACAAACAAACATTTAATACATCAGTCATCCCTTCCCTGTGACACCTTGGTGTGATCTTCCAAAATTCTTCTTCTACTTCCATAGGTTTCTTCTATCTTGATCTTCATCCAAACCCTTATAACAGTTCATTGCTAAAACAATATTCTAATCATCGAGTTTTTATACAAAATTATAAAATTAATCATTTATATCTCTTTTCCAACCAATGATAAAAGTTATTCCATATCTTAAAATATTCTGACTCTTCCCGATCTTTAATCATCAAAGTTAATATATTAATTTCTGCACAGTCTAAAAAAAATTTTATTACTTCTTCCAGAGGTACTTTCTCTGCTTTCCAATTTTGAGCATAAACAATTCTAGCTGCTGTTACTACATGTATAATCAAGTAAATTTTTTCCTTACTAATTTTTTCAGGGAGGATACCCAATAGGAACAACTCTGGTTTAAATTCAATACATTGCTGTATCATTTCTTCCAACCAAGTTTTGATTTTATTCCAATAATTTTTTGCTTCAGGGCATGTCCATCACATATGGTAGTAAGATCCTGGTAATTGGTGACATTTCCAACATTTAGCGGATTTATCTTTAAACATTTTTGCTAACTTCTCCGGTGGCATATGCCATCTATAAAACGTTTTATATTGATTTTCCTTATCTGCAGTAGACAGGAGGGAGATTTTTTTATCCCAACAAAGAGTCATGTCATGTCATGGAATGGCAATGCAAACATTCACACTTTAAATAAATCAGAATCTAAAAATGAAAATAATTCATTCTTCAAAAAAGAAGTAAAAATCAAAACAACGAAGCCTGATTATTCTAGTTATCCTGCTAAATCATAAATCTGAAATATATTTCTAGAATTCCCAAAGATAAATACAAGTTCTTATGTAGTGAACTTCTGGAAACATTTACAAATATAGGATAGGCAAAAACACAAGTTGCCTGACTATATACAACAAATCAATCATTATTCCACTATGGAAAATAATAATGAATCCTTTCCATTCTTCACTCTACATTTTTGCTACCTCTTGCTCTGAATCCTACTTAAGTTCACAACACTCCCAAATTACAAATCAATTTAGCAGACCATTCATTCTGCAACAGGGTCCCCAAATATCTATTAAATAGACAATTACATAATTACATTGATTTATATCAGTTGCTTAATAACATCATTACCCAAATAATAAAATATGCATCTTTTTCATTATAGCATCACCACATAAGTGACTCAACCCATTTCCTTGTCAACTGATCTTCAGAAGTCTGTGCTTTTGGCTGCTGCTGCTAAAGACAGTGTTAGACTGTATAAAGCCTTCCTTAATCACAGATGAGAGCACCAACCTGGTACCTATTACTGAGACCTCACAGAAACGTGCCCAGCTGAGTTTTGGGTTTGACATCAGTTGAGACTCCATGTCAGGGTCAGATTATCTTCCAAAGCGCTCTTAAATTCTCTCTCTCTCTGCTGCTCCACAAGTTACTAAATATGAGACCTGAAGTTGGACTATAGGAATCTTTTGGGACTGTTGCCATTGTACCACAGCCTCTTGGCTGCATAGCAAAGTCCTTGCCTGAGCCTCTTGATTCTGTCTCAGGGTTGGTAGTGCAGTTCCCCAGGTTCATGGTCCTGGGGACTTCAGCCTGCCTTCCCTGGGGACAGGCTCTGAGGTAGCTTAGAGGTCTGTGGTCACCATGACGGCATCTAACCCAGGGGTGAAATGCTCCCGGTTTGGACCAGATCGCCCAATCCGGTAGCGATGGCAGCAGGTGGTTCAGAGAACAGGTAGCAAAAATCCCTGTCCCCCCCCCCCATGCCCAGCTGAACCACGTGATCATCAGAGGCTTTTTTTTTACTTTTAAAAGCATTTTTTTTACAACCTCTTCGGCCGAAAAAATGCTTTGAAAAGTAAAAAAAAAAGCCTCTGATAATCGCGCAGCTCAGCTGGGATCGTCAGAGGCTTTTAAAAGCATTTTTTCTACAACCTCTTAAAGTTGTAGAAAAAATGCTTTTAAAAGTTAAAAAAAAAAGTTGGCCACACCTACCGTCACATTACCCCCCCCACCAAGCCACGCCCACAGAACAGGTAGTAACAAATTTTACCACTGGTCTAACCCTAGTATGGGTCTATCCCAGATCATCCAGAGCCCAACCAGGGGCAGTGGCTACAGCCCTGGTTTTCTCATCAGAGTAGTAGCAATATGTTCTGAATTTGGGGGAACTGTGTCTCACCTGTCATAGTCAGATCTTGCCCTGGTAGTATCAGATTCTCTGCCACTGCCCCCCTGCCAAAAGGAGACTGGACCTATTAGATTGATCTATCCCCAGGACTAAAGAACCCGAATGGACTCCAGAGCTGGGCTTATCCCTGATGGTTTGCCTGAACCTTGGTCATTGTATGGAACAGGAGAGAAGCTGAGGCTTTGGATTAGATTAGATTACAGTCATGTTCAACCTCTCCTCTCTCATTGACCTGGTTGATCTCCATGGTTTACAGAAAAGCTTGGATGAAACAGGTCCCACTCTCAATTCCAGTTGTTTGGTGTTCTACAGGGTTCAGTATTCTCTCCACTCCTATTTAATATCTTCATGAAGCCTCTGGGTGAGATCATTCACAGTCATGGAGTATGGTATCATCACTTAGTTGTACATTATCCAGAGTCATCTGTCCATTAAATGGGTGGTTATATAAGTATGACAATATATTTAGTAAAGCTACTAAAAAAAGCTGTGGTTTCAGTAAAAAATGCACAAACCCTCCTGCTTAATCTGCTACCTCCATTAATAAGTTTATACAAACTCTGGATACACTTGAAACAGACAGCATAGTGAAAAGTCAAATAGTTTGATCTGCTTTTCTTATTCTAAATTCTTTCTAGGAGTTCAAAACAGAATACAGAAAATTATAGAATTATGTCATGGCCAATGATACATTGTTAATATTCTATTGTTTTGCTCCAAGTTGGAAAACAGCTATGTGATATGATATATGTTACTACAACATAATAAATGAACTTCACTTATGGCAATACTGTTGAAGTAAACAAAACTGGT